CTGTTTTGTATCTTAAAAGTTCCTTATGTGAGTAAAGTCATATATTTGTCATTCTGACTAACTTCACTTAGCATAATATCTTCTAGTTCCATCTACATTGTTGCAAATGGCAAGATTTCATTCTTTTTGATTGTCAAGTAATACTCCATTGTGTGTGTGTATATATATATATATATATATACACACCACATCTTCGTTCATTGTCAATGGACATTTGGGCTCTTTCCGTACTCTGGCTATTGTCAATAGTGCTCCTATAAACATTGGGGTGCATGTGCCCCTTTGAAACAGCACTCCTGTATCCCTTGGATAAATACCTAGTAGTGCAATTGCTGGGTTATAGGGTAGTTCTATTTTCAATTTTTTGAGGAAACTCCATACTGTTTTCCAGAGTGGCTGTACCAGTTTGCATTCCCACAGCAGTGCAGAAGGGTTCTCCTTTCTCTGCATCCACACCAACAACTGTCATTGCCTGAGTTGTTAATGTTAGCCATTCTGACTGGTGTGAGGTGGTATCTCATTATGGTTTTGATTTGTATTTCTCTGATGATGAGTGATGCTGAGCATTTATTTCTTCATGTGTCTGCTAGACATCTGGATGTCTTCTTTGGAGAAGTGTCTATGCATGTCTTCTGTCCATTTCTTCCCTAGATTATTTGTTTTTTGGGTGTTGAGTTTGATAAATTTTTTATAGATTTTCGATGCTAACACTTTATCTGATATGTCATTTGCAAATATCTTCTCTCATTCTGTCAGTTGCCTTTTAGTTTTGCTGATTATTTCCTTTGCTGTGCAGAAGATTTTAATCTGGATGACGTTCCAATGGTTCATTTTGCTTTTGTTTCCTTTGCCTCCCTCCGGCAACGGCAACGTATTGAGTAAGAAGTTGCTGTGGCCAAGGTTGAAGAGGTTTTTGCCTGCTTTCTCCTCTAGGATTTTAATGGCTTCCTGACTTACATTTAGGTCTTTCATCCATTTTGAGTTTAGTTTTGTGTATGGTGTAAGAAAGTGGTCCAGGTTCATTTTTCTGCATGTCACTGTCCAGTTTTCCCAGCACCATTTGCTGAAAAAACTGTCTTTGCTCCATTGGATATTCTTTCCTGCTTTGTCAAAGATTAATTTGCCATATGTTTGTGGGTCCATTTCTGGGTTCCCTATTCTGTTCCATTGATCTGAGTGTCTGTTTTTGTGCCAGTACCATACTGTCTTGATGATTACAGCTTTGTAATACAGTCTGAAATCTGGGATTGTGATGCCTCCTGCTTTGGTTTTCTTCTTTGAGATTGCTTTTGCTGTTTGGGGTCTTTTCTGGTTTCATACAAACTTTAGGATTGTTTGTTCTAGCTCTGTGAAGAAGGCTGATGTTATTTTGATAGGGATTGCATTGAATATGTAAATTGCTTTGGGTAGTATCAACATTTTAACAATATTTGTTCTTCCAATCCAGGAGCATGGAATATTTTTCCATTTTTCTGTGTCACCAATTTCTTTCATAAGCTTTCTATAGTTTTCAGTGTATGGATTTTTCACTTCTATGGTTAGGTTTATTCCTAGGTATTTCATGGTTTTGGTGCAATTGTAAATGGAATTGATTGTTTGATTTCTCTTTCTGTTGCTTCATTATTGGTGTATAGGAATGCAACCAATTTCTGTGCACTGATTTTATATCCTGTGACTTTGCTGAATTCATGGATCAGTTATAGGAGCTTCCTGCTGGAATCTTTTGGGTTTTCCATATAGAGTATCATGCCATCTGTGGAGAGTAAAACTTTGACTTCCTCCTTGCTGATTTAGATGCCTTTTATTTCTTTGTGTTGTATGACTGCTGAAGTTAAGACTTCCAATACTATGTTGAATAACAGTAGTGAGAGTGGACATCCCAGTCTTGTTCTTGACCTTAGGGAGAAAGCTCTCAGTTTTCCCCACTGAGGGTGATATTAGCTATGGGTCTTTCATATATGGGTTTTAAGATCTTAAGGTATGATCCTTCTATCCTTTCTTTCTTGAGGGTTTTTATCAAGAAAGGATGCTAGATTTGTCAAATGTTTTTCTCTGCATCTATTGAGAATAGGATCTTATGGTTCTTGTCCTTTCTTTTATTGATGTGATGTATCACACTGACTGATTTGTGGATATTGAACCAGCCCTGCATCCCAGGTATAAATCCCACTTGGCCATGTTGAATAATTCTTTTAATATATTGTTGGATCCATTTGGCTAGTATCTTGTTGAGGATTTTTGCATCCATGTTCATCAGGGAAATTGGTATATAGTTCTCCTTTTTAGTGGGGTCTCTGGTTTTGGAATCAAGGTAATGCTGGCTTCACAGAATGAGTTTAGAAGTTTTCCTTTCATTTCTACTTTATGGAACAGCTTCAAAAGAATAGGTCTTAACTCTTCTTTAAATGTTTGGTAGAATTCCCCTGAAAAGCCATCTGGCTCTGGACTCTTGTTTTTTGGCAACTATTTTATTACTAATTCAAAGAAATCTGTTGCATTTCTATACATCAATAATGAAGTAGCAGGAAGATCCCTTCATCTGTTGATGGATACTTAGGCTCTTTCCATGTATAGGAGGATTAGAAGGAACTTGACAGAGGAACAAGGGGGAAAAGAAGGGGGGAAATGGTGGGGGATAGGGAGAGAGGCAAACCATGAGAGACTCTTGAATGCTGACAAAAACTGAGGACTGATGGATGTGGGGGGGAGGAGGGATGGGCATGGAGGAGGGCACTTGTGGGGATGAGCACTGAGTGTTATGTGGAAACTAATTTGACAATAAACTATTTGTAAACAAAACAAAAAAAAAAGTAGCAGGAAGAGAAATTAAGGAATTAATCCCATTACCATTGCACCAAACCCAGTAAGATACCTAGGAATAAACCAAACCAAACAGATGAAAGACCTGTACTCCGGAAACTATAAAACACTAATGAAAGAAAATTTCATAGTGTCTTAATTCCTTCTGCCTGGTTATGTTTGACTGAAAGTTTTTCACTGTGTTAAAGAAATGTTTGTAGAAATAATTTCAGGTCCCTGGGAATATTAGCTATCCAGGATGACTTAAAACCAATTTCAAAGACTAAGATTTTCATTACTCTGAGAGATTAATCCGGGTTGTTTTCCTTCTTGTTCATCCCCACAATGCATTCAGAGCACAATAGATCTATCAGGGTTCCTACTCTTGGTAGGCCCTGGAATCTAACTTCAATTCCTCTAGCCCCATAGCTTTGAAAAGCATTATTTGGTAACTCTGGAATCAGAAATGCCCTAAGAAGGATGGGGCCTCAGACCAACCTCTCTAGAGGCCAACCTCTTTGGATTTAAGTCCACATCCAAAGTGATTTTTCATCACTTCATTAACGCTCCAATGCCTTTATGTATTTTTTCCCCTTTATCCTTTCTTCCCCCTTCCCTGCCTCCCTTCCTTCCTTATTTTTTAATATATTGCCTAGTCTTTCTTGTTTTCTTCTAAAAAAAGCTTGGTCCAATGACCTAGTCAGCTTCACTACAAGTGGAAATCTCCTCAATACAGCTTTTTATCCTACTTAAAATTACAATACAATTTTCCCATGACATTAAATATTCTCCAAAAATATATTATTTTATTTTATTTTTTTGCATTTGATCTTTTCATGAGTTTTTTTTTTTTTTTTTTTTTTTACAAATAGTTTATTGTCAAATTAGTTTTTACATAACACTCAGTGCTCATCCCCAAAGTGCCCTCCTTCATGCCCATCCCCCCCTCCCCCCCACATCCATCAGTCCTCAGTTTTTGTCAGCATTCAAGAGTCTCTCATGGTTTGCCTCTCTCCCTTTCCCCCACCATTTCCGCCCTTCTTCTCCCCCTTGGTCCTCCGTCAAGTTCCTCCTAATCCTCCTATACGTGCAAACATATGGTATTTGTCCTTCTCTGCCTGACTTATTTCGCTCAGCATAACACCCTCAAGGTCCATCCATGTTGCTACACATGGCCAGATTTCATTGTTTCTCATTGCCATGTAGTATTCCATGGTATAGATAAACCACATCTTCTTGATCCATTCATCTGTTGATGGACACTTAGGCTCTTTCCATGTTTTAGCTATTGTGGAGAGTGCTGCTATGAACATTGGGGTACATGTGCTCCTATGCCTCAGCATTTCTGTATCCCTTGGGTAAATTCCTAGCAGTGCTATTGCTGGGTCATAAGGGAGTTCTATTGTTAGTTTCCTGAGGAACCTCCACACTGTTTTCCAGAGGGGCTGTACCAGTTTACATTCCCACCAACAGTGCAGGAGGGTGCCCGTTTCTCCACATCCTCGCCAGCATCTAGAGTTCTCTGATTTGCTCATTTTAGCCACTCTGACTGGCGTGAGGTGGTATCTCAGTGTGGTTTTGATTTGTATTTCCCTGATGAGGAGGGATGCTGAGCATCGTTTCATGTGTCTGTTGGCCATCTGGATGTCCTCTTTGGAGAAGTGTCTGTTCATGTCTTCTGCCCATTTCTTCACTGGGTTGTTTGTTTTTCGGGCGTGTAGTTTGGTGAGTTCCTTATAGATTCTGGATATTAACCCTTTATCTGATATGTCATTTGCAACTATCTTTTCCCATTCCGTTGGTTGCCTATTAATTTTCTGGGTTGTTTCCTTGGCTGTGCAGAAGCTTTTAATCTTGATGAGGTCCCAACAGTTTATTTTTGCTCTTGATTCCCTTGCTTTTGGGGATGTGTCAAGTAAGAAGTTGCTGCGGTGGAGGTCAAGGAGGTTGTTTCCTGCTTTCTCCTCTAGGGTGTTGATAGTTTCCTGTCTCACGTTCAGGTCCTTTATCCATTTTGAGTTGATTTTTGTGCATGGTGTGAGAAAATGATCTAGTTTCATTCTTCTGCATGTTGCTGTCCAGTTCTCCCAACACCATCTGTTAAAAAGGCTGTCTTTTTTCCATTGGATATTCTTTCCTGCTTCTCCAAAAATATATTAAATAATTAAATTATATTATATTCATATAGAAAATATGTTCACCTGTTGCTCTAGGATCATATTCTTCTCTCGCTCTACATTGAGAACCATTCTCTTTGTATATTCCAGTTGCTTCTCTAGAAGAGTACAGCGAGACTGGGCTGAATTTAACTGTATAGTGATATCTGTGAAAAAGAAAAAGTAATAATGTGTTGATTATCATACAGATTACAGGTTTGGTTCTCACAAGAAATACATTATATAAATTCAATCAAGAGCTAAAAGTTCATGAATTCTTTAGTTCTAAGTACTGACTGTAAGAGTTATGGACATACATTTTGTGAATATCTCATTAAGTACATATAACTAGTTTAACACTGTCTCCCTCTAAAGATCCACAGGGTATATTTCTATAAGTGTAAGATGTCAATGACTTACTTGTGGGATGATAGAAATCCTGGATGTTCCTGGGAAATGACAGAGGACTTATCATCTCTTTCTTATCTAGATATTTTTCTCTTTCAGGAAACTTGAGTATATGTATTCTACCATTCCCATTTCCTCTGCTCTTGACTACTGACAACATAGTTATTTCCTAAGAAGTAATCCTTTCTAATACTTTAATTTTTTACTTTCTGTAGCTCTTTCTTCCACTTTTGTCCAATAACCTCAGAAAAATTTTTCTCAATTCTTCATACTTTTTATAAGTTGACATACAAACTTGAATCTTATTTATGAAGCTGAATATAGTATAAGAAAAAAGAAAGCTATACATTATGAAGTAAAATTAATAAAGAACTTATGGGTTTTTTTTTTAATTTTTATATTTACTTTTGAGAGAAACAGAGGCAAGTGGGGGAGGGGCAGAAAGAGAGGGAGACACAGAATCTGCAGCAGGCTCCAGGCTCCAACCTGTTAGCACAGAGCCCTACTCAGGGCTTGAACTCATGGATCACAAGATCATGACCTGAGCTAAGGCTAGGTGCTTAATAGACTGATCCACCCAGGCAACCCTAAAGAACTTATGTTCCAAAACTCAAAAACTTATGTCCTGTTGTTCTTTTTATAATTTCCACAAAAACCTCTACTTACCTGTCTATTTCCTCTAATTAATCTTTCAAGTTAATAAAAATTTTTATTCATTTTTATGGTTTTTATATTGTTTAATTACTAGTGTTGTTTTATTTTTTCAAATTTAAAAAACCAGTGTTGACTGAAAATATAAAGTATTTCAATTATATTATGGGTAAAACTAGATTTTGTTGGTATTCTGAAAATGTTCTAATTTCTAAACACAATTTGTCTAAAAACTTAATTTTTTTTCTTTTAATCTCAGTAATTTATGAACTGGGATAATATACGTAAGCTCAAGGTTATATCCATTTAATACAAAGTATCAGATTGAGAACAAGGCCTCAAAGTTTCAATGTATATAAGAACAAAGACATTTGAGTAAATGTTAGACTAGGCTTATTTGCAAGTTGTAAGTTCTGATAACCCCTTGTTTCTGAGAACTATTGAATTTTCTTACCTTTTTTCTGCTTTATCAGTTCCTGGTGTGCCAGATTTCTCTCATTTGTTTCTTTCTCCAAGGCCTTTTTATACTGTGCTGCTTCTCTGGAAAGAATGTTCAGGTTGTCCTCAGCTTGTGTTCTCTCCAACTCTAAACGATGAATCTTTTCCTGAAGAGTTTTTAAGGCTAAAATAAGAGCTGTTGAAAAAAAATGTGCTTGTTTCTTTAACGAAAATTTTGAACACTTACATGGTATCATATGAAAGTGAACAGTATTATTTTTGTTAGTAAGCCAGAAAAACATACAAGTGATATATATTTTATTCCTCAAAAAAAAAAAAACCACTAAAACTCTAAAGAGGGACAAATTTTTTCTAACATATCTTATAAAAACAGTATATTTGTGATTGTGTTTAGTAATTTTCTAGGTTTGAGACAGCTAATAATCACAATTTAGTTCAATAAAATATATATCTTCAAATAAAAAGATTTAAAAAAGATATAGTCTAGGAGGCATAAAAGTCTGAGTATGGATAAAGAAAATTAAAATGTAGTGCCTATAGAACTCCCTTATGACCCAGCAATAGCACTGCTAGGAATTTACCCAAGGGATACAGAAATGCTGAGGCATAGGAGCACATGTACCCCAATGTTCATAGCAGCACTCTCCACAATAGCTAAAACATGGAAAGAGCCTAAGTGTCCATCAACAGATGAATGGATCAAGAAGATGTGGTTTATCTATACCATGGAATACTACATGGCAATGAG